GTAAGAGTCTTCACCCTTAATTACCGGGTAAGACACCCGATCTTTGTCATTGTTCTTACCGGGTAAGATTTTATGTCTTTATCATGTACATCCAATAAGGTAATTGACCTAACTAGTAAGCACTAACTGGATACCGTTTCGTAAACACGGCCACCTGAATGAAAGTTGCTTTTCAATCCAAAAGTGTTTTAAGAATAGAATTTCAAAAAAAGCAATTCGTTTCACTTAAAACTCAACCGATATGAATATAATGTTAAGGACACTTGCAACAACTACGATGCATGTAATACCATGATTTGTAATTAAATAGTAAATTAGACGTCTAAAAAAACAACAAAAACGAATTAAAACGCCAACTAGGGAAAAAGTGCAAAATTAGTCAAAGTGTGACGGTTTACCTGAATAATTGTCACTATTTGAGTTTTTCACCAACGATTTATCCATCAACTTTTGTGACGGTTTTATTACTAATGATGGATTTCAAGGAGAAAAAGCTGGCAAATCCATTTGGCCTCCGAGTCAATTATTATAACTCTTGTTCTAAACGTCCAGTCAACCATTTGTATTGTTCAAAGATAAGATATATGTGTACTACTTTTCAACACGTGCTGCAAGAATTCATATGAAATTTCAAGTCAGAACACGCAATAAGAAAAAAATGGCAAAGCTTGTAGGATATGATTAGAGATTGGTCAGGACTTTCACGTACATTCATCATAATCTGAACAAAACAATGGAGTTATTTGCTTAACTCATTAATTTGAAATCATTAAAACTCGAGATGTCTAGCATATACCATTAGCTAATCTCACAAACCCAGCATGCATGCAATCTGTTGGTTACCAGCGGTTGTAACGTAACGGGTGATCGAGGATCATGTGGTTCAATATAGGTTTGGTTAAGCTAAGGCTTCATCTAGACCTTTAACTATAGTTAATCAGGACTTAGATATACCAATTAATCGTAGTTCTATTCACACTTGAGACTAAAACATACCCTCCTAACGTCTATTCAGCTACTTGTGCTCATACAAATATCTCATTTGTATTTTCTTGGAAGTTCAATTGGTGCATCTTGTATTGAAATTTAGGTGTCCATGCATGTAAACTCAATAATTATAATTGACCAAAGAATCTATACATATGCCAGCCAATTTGACTTTAATGATTTACATACATGCATGCATATACATACATACATACATGCATGCATCCATGCTACGTGTGTGTGTGTATATATATATATTGATGAAAAGAAATGCTAAATGCTATTCAAACAGTTTGTAAATATGAGATTAAAAGGTGTTGATGTTTCCTTCGTGTCTATTTTCATTGCACTTGCTCTCCTTTCTTCTTGGGTGGCAATTGTTCGAGCACAAGAAGTAGTAGCACCGCCAACGTCATCGAGTTCCCGTTGGGGTGGTTGGGGTTGTTGGGGCGACTCGTGCAATTGATGGTGATGGTGTATATATGGTTCATGACAAGCACAAATAGGTCATTTTTTTGTCACCAGAATCGTTGTTTGTTCTTATGTTTGTTTCATATTAATCTGTAAAATTAACTTTATTATGTTACCAACACTGAAAGTGTGTTTTAAAATGTGCACAACTATTAATTTTAGCTAGCGGTTTGTTTATGAATGTGATTCTTCTGTTTTAAAGGCTAAGATTTGAAATAAACCGCTAGCTAAAATTTATATGATGTTTTTGGGCGTCTTAACAAGTTTTTTAAAACATTTTTAATACAAAGTGTCGCATTAGCAACTTTATATGACACTTTTGAAAAAATGTTCTATAAACTCAATTTTATATAGGACATTTGTTTTTATGGGATAGTTTTTCAAATAGTATCATATAAAGTTGTTAATGAGACTAAAAGTGTCCTAAAAAACTTATTACGACATCAAAAAACGTCATATAAACTTATTACAATACCTTTAGGTATAACGCTTTATTTTTTTGTTCCTATAAACTAAGTCTTATAAAGAGTTTTATTATGACGCTTAGAAATTGAGAGTGTACTATAAACCCGATTTTGTTGTAGTGATAGTTCTTTTCGGATATACTATGATACAAGTATATATAATTGGTATTTAGAGTTTTGGATATCTGAAGTATAAACTATATATTCGTCATATATGATTTCTTTTTTAGCGCACGGGCGACCTTGGCGCCACGACCCTGGGTCACATGGCCTTGGTCGCATACGATTATCGTTAATTATTTCACCTACTCCTTTTCTCTTCTATTTACTTTGGTCAAGATCAACCTAGGGCATCAATTTTTTTTTTTTTTTTTGATTAACTTGGATATTCAACCCGCTATGCGAGCCGACTAATCTCAGGACGACCACATGCTTTGCAGATAGCGCGGAGTCACCGCGTTTGAACGTCCGTGGCCGCAAGGGGATTTTTTATTCCTCCTTGGATCTGAACCTGGGAGGACCTCCAATTACTTTTGACTTTTGGAGTCAAGCTCAAACCAATCAAACACCACTCTTATGATTCTAGGACATCGATTTTGAATCCCCATTTGCATTTATGAGTCCTAGAGTGCAAGGGGTTGTGATTAAAGTTTGAAGTCAACTTCATCTTCTCCATTAATATAACATTATTATAAAAAAATAAAAAACTTGTAGAACACAACTTATCACTCCAACATTTTTAAAAAAAAAAAACTTTAAAAAATATGTATTTTTTTAACAAAATAAAATATGAAGTGTTACGTTTTTTACAAACAAAATAGTTTTATATTTATTTAAGAAATATTTTTCACTAAAATATTTAACTTACATGTAAGTTAATAAGAAAAGGTTTAAAAAAATTGAAATGTTTTTTTTTTCAATTGTATCAATGAAAAGTGAAAGTCATTAAAAATAATTTGAAAGAGGTTTCTTTTAGTCATGTCATCAAAATGCTATGTCATTCACATCACCTCATTTAAATCAGTGAAGAAAAAAAAGTTCCAAAATAAAAGATTGTATAATTTCCTTTTTGCAAACTATGATTTATAATAATATTTTGAGTAAATTTATGTTTTTAATCCCCATGATTTGTTGAAAGTTTCTATTTTCGTCCTTTTAATTTTGAATAATTTTCATTATGGTTTATAATTCATTATCTTTTTTGTTCTTATGATCTAAAATTTATTGGTTTTTTCGTCCCTATGGTTTACAATTCATTTTTATTTTAGTTCTTCATACTTAAAAGTAGTGTTTTGGCTTCAGGGACGAAAATAGAAATGAATTACAAATCATAAAAATGAAAACTAAAATTTTAAAACCACAAAGATGAAATCCGAATTTTTAGCAAACCATAAACACGAAAAACATAATTTACTCTAATGTTTTATATCAATTATTCTTTTATATCTAAAGCATTGTTCCAGTCAAAAAACCAAGCAAGAAAACAAAAAATGAGTAAGTAGGGAACAATAGTTTAATATTATAACTTTTGTAACTAAAATCAGGTCCTTGTAGTTTATCAAAACTAACATTTTTTGTCCTTGCAGTTTGCAAAACGTCCAAATCTAATTTATGTCTCTAATGTTCGTTAAAAAAATTCATTAATTGAGGGATATTTTCATAATTTTACTTGTTTTTTTTTGTCTTTTATGGCGGTTTACAACGTTTATACAACTCAACTCAATTATGACAGTTGAAAAAAAAAATTAACTCAATCCAATTCGTTCAAAAGTATAAACCCAACCCAACATTTACATGTTGGGGCAGGTTGGGAGGTTAATAGTTACATAAAATTAATAAATAAAATACTTTATAGGACTTAAATTTATAGGATAAAACTATAAAGCGTTATATCTAAAAGGGTTACAATATATTTATAGGACCCTTTTGGACGTTTCAATAAGTTTTTTAAGACGCGTATTAGCTATTTTATAGAACAATTCTGAGAAGTGTCATATAAACTCATCTATTTATAGGGCACTTGTCTTAGCGTTACACTTTTTCAAATAATGTCGGATAAAATAATATCTAATATGATATTTTGCTATAAAAACGTCCTAATTAAAAACTTGTTAGGACAACTAAAAACATCTTATAAACATATTGTAACACTTTAAATATGTCGTTTTTTTTGTTTGGTACTATATACTTAAGTCTGAAGTCCTATAAATTATCATTCTATGATACTTATATATCTTACACATTCTATAAACCTAATGTTGTTGTAGTGAAATGCTACAACTATTCGCATTTTTTTCCACCAAAGTAAAACATCAAATAAGGCAACTAAGTATCTATCAACATCATTCATATTCTCCAACACATCTATTTGTTGTTGCTGCAAAAACGGTCTCATAATTTTCTACTATTAGATTCTTTGTCATCGTTCTTTGTAAGTGAATCCTTTTTTATAACCTATACCATACATAAAAAAAAGAATTTATGAATATAAACTCAACAAGCATTAAATTAAATTTTATACATTGTTAATACATATATATATAGGATACATTTCAAATGCACCTCTATATATAATGGACTGGTATATTATATCAAAGTTATACATATTAGCGGCGAGTTGGCAGGTCGAGTTAGGCTAACCCAATTTCTACATATTAATTGGCGGTTTGGTTGGTTGGCGCCAGGGTTGACCGAGTTGGGTCTAATTAAGTTGTTAACGGATTGGATTGGACGGTTTTCTATGCACCGCTACTTCTATCCAAATCAAAAACTATAGAGACCAAAATTATAAAATCAATTTTGATTGGGTAAAAGATAAAAAAAAATAGATAATAAAAAACGAAAACGTCCCTCATTTAACAGAATTTTTTAATGATCGTTAAAGTGAGGACCAAATCCAAATGTTTTTGCACACTACCATAACCACTCTTGTATTTCGAAACTATAAGGACCAAATTTGTAGTTTAATCTAAACTTTTTGATGTGAATCCACAAGAATACAACCACCCGTTTGTTGCTTTGAGATGTCTTTTTTGACCTCAATATTCCAATTTATATGAACCCCCAAAAAAGAGGTACAAAGAAAACAGAATCAGGATGGTGATTCCTTCTGTCTTGCTAAACTTCTTGTTTCCTTCACCATCTTCATGGTTTGTCACCGCGATGTTGGTCGTAAATCTGTCGGCGTTGACAGACGCCGCGTACATGGAAATCAAAGGGAAGCATCTGCGCTATTCCAAGTTCTTGAACGCCGGTGGTGTCGCCAAGAAACAAGACATGAAGTTGTCTAGTAGAAACGGGATGCTTTTATTCTACACGCCCGCGTTTCTCGTGGGCGTCGCTTCTTTCTTCGTTGTTCCGTATCAAGACCTTAGATTCGTGTTGCTTGCTTCTGCTCTCACTCTTCATTTCTTCAAAAGGGTACTCGAGGTACACTTTCTAATGCTTAAACTCTTCAACTTAAGTCAATGTAGTAAAAATGGTTTAAACTTGTATAAAATAACCGGATTTGGATCGTCACTAAAAGTGAATTACGGAAGACACCTTTAGTCACGGTTAAAATTTAATGGATGGTTGTGACCCAACGACTCATGGGAAACCAATTTCACGAACAAGCCCTGATAAGTCACAACGCTTCATGTGACTTTTTATGCAGGTCTTATTTCTTCACAAATACAGTGGTTCCATGGCCCTGGAATCGCCGATAATCATCACAATGAGTTATACCTCCTCCACTGCAACAATGATTTATGCTCAATTTCTATCCCGAGATGTCCCCGAGCCTACGGTGGATCTCAAATACGTTGGAATTGGATTGTTTTTTATCGGAACAATTGGAAACTTCTACCATCATTGCCTTCTTGCTAATCTAAGGAATAAAGGGGACAAAGAGTACAAAATCCCTCAAGGAGGGTTGTTTGGTTTGGTAATATGCCCACACTATCTGTTCGAGATTCTTGCATATGCAGGAATCTCGAGCATTTCACAAACACCGTATGCGTTTGCTTTCACTTTGGGTACCATCTTTTACTTGATCGGGCGGAGTTATGGCACACGGGGGTGGTACCTATCGAAGTTCGGGGACAAATTCCCTAAGGACGTCAAGGCTCTTATTCCGTACGTTTTTTAGATGGTCGTTGCGACAATAGAAAACTCAATGTCCCAATTGAGGACACATGTAGATATTTATAAATCGTTACAACATTTAGTTTCATTCGGGGAAAATAAAATATTTGCAGTTTGATCGTTATGAAATAGATGCGACAATTTTAACCTATTTATATGTAAATGAGTTGGTAATTTAAAATACTAAGGTGGTGTTTGTTTTTTAAAAAAACAAAACTCTTATTTGTCAGGTACGTATAATTTGGTCCGACTGTTTGTTTTTTCTTTCTTTTAAGAGTCTCTCATCTCTTACCATCCTCTTAAAAGTAAAGTGATAACCTAACCACTTATTACCTCTCAATCGCTCACCCTCGATCGGTAAACCTAGACCTAAACCGATCTTTGTCTCTTTGGAAACATAATCGATCACAGTTGTTGTGTCTCAAACAATCGATCCCAACACATTCTCTCAACCGCTCACTCTCAATCGTTAAACCTAGACCTACATCGATCCCAGTCCCTAGAAACATAATCGATCCTGGTTGTTCAGCCATGGGATGTTCTTGTTTTACATATGCACAGGGTTTAGGGTGTAGTTGCTTTCAAAGTTGACCCTATTCGTTTGTTTGGTCTCGTTCTAGATCATTTTGTTATGAATTGTTCCTGTTTATATGTTACGGGGTATAGGGTTGGTGGAAAATCAGATAGTGTTGAAAAATATTCCAATAAGATAGATGAAAACAAAATAAAGATTTAATCATATAACGGACAAAAGGTTAAATCTTTTAGTAGTCAGACCCACCAACACCTCATAAATTAATCAATTCACACAGATTGAATCTATCTTTCGCGATAGATTTAATGAAAGAAAGTGGTAGAAGCAGAGTTGTTCACTTAGTGAACCGGAAATTAAATACAATGCGAGAAATATAAAATCAACCTGATTAATTTTATGTCGATTTGGATGATAATCTGCACGGTAAAACATGTCCTTTAAGGTTTTATACGACCACTTTATTCACATTATGAGTTTGCTAGTCGCAAAGCCCCACGATTTGATGCAGTATTCAATTCGTTTATGAACAGCGATCAAAAACAAACATAGAGCACAATGTATGTAGAAAATGGTAGAGAGAAAGTAAAAGTCGGGAGCAGAAATCGAAGGAGAGGAAGCTTAGAATTTTCTGTGTATTTCGAACTGGCTTCAACCCAGTTTATATACTGGTTGAGGCCGATTTTCTTCCACGAAATCCTCATAAATTGAAGATAATGGTGGAGAAAATTTCTCCACTAACCATTATCTCAAATACTAAGTGCAAAGTGCGCCTCCTCGCGAATCCCACGCCCTCAGCCTCGGCCACACGTGCACGTGTGTGTTGGGCCTTCCACTCAAGACCCCCATCATGAGTACACCAACTTATTCAAAGACCATTTCTAGAGAAAGCCTTATAAGCTTCTCTAGAAATTAATTTTCTACCAATGTGGGATGGAAGTTAAACTTCTAACCTGCAAATTTCTAACAAATAGTTCACGGAGAGAATCTGTTTTATTCCATATCTTATTGATTCAGATTTCAGACTTCAAACATTTACGAGTTTACAAAAATAAACAGTTTTATTTTAACAATTATTTTAAAAAGAAAACATTTTGTATATGATTTGTAAGAATACAAACCACTTGTTTTTGCGGTTGCAAATGAACTTTTGTGGGACCCACTCGTTAAAATGTCCTTTTGGACCTCATGATGAGTGGTACCAACACATTTATGTGGCAATTGTTAAATGCCCTTTTCACCTCCATCTATTTGGCCATCCCCAGTGTGAGTTTGCAAACAACCTTCGAAGAACACCAAACACATTAAGGTTAATAATCAAGATGGCCATTCCTTCCATCTTCCTAAACCTTTTATTTCCACCACCGTCGTCGTTGTTCGTCACCACGATGACCGTCGTGGGTTTCTCGTCGTTGACGAATGCCGGGTACAAGGAAATCAAGGGCCAGCACATGCAATATTCCAAGTTCTTGAACGTCGGTGTTGTGGAGAAGGAGAAGGAGAAGGAGATGAAGTTGTCTAGTAAAAACGGGATGCTTTTATTCTACGCACCTTCATTTCTCGTGGGCTTGACTTCCTTCTTCGCTTTTCCGCATGAAGATCTCAGATTCGGGTTGCTTGTTTCTGCTCTCACCGTTCATTTCTTCAAAAGGGTGGTCGAGGTACACTTTCTAATACATTAATTTAGAAGAAATGGTTCAATTTAAGAGCATATGCGTCAGTGTAGTTATAATTTGATTTAATAAATGTTACATCAGTTTTAACAGTTATTTTGTAGTTATCTTATAAATCAACGATTATTAATGTGGATGTCATTTTAAAAACGATCATTTTTTTCAGTTATAACTTAAAAGTTACAACTAAATATTATTTATTATAAGTGTTTAACCTTAGGGACAAAAACATAAATGAATTACAAACCATAGGGACTAAAGCCACAATTTCAAAACTACAAGGATGAAATCCAAAATTTGTAACAACTCACAAGGATAAAAAAACGTAATTTACTCTTATTATAAATACATATTTGGGGAAAGTTTCATTTGAAAAACGATAAATATTTGAGAAGTAAAGAAGTAATCTTAGTCCTTCATGGTTAATATTTGCGGCTTTGACCGTGGAGCACCAGATAATTCCTCATATGGGTATGCGAAAGATAGATGGGTGATTTCATAACTTTTACAAATAAGTGGCAAACGAGTTCATATGTGAACCCGTTAATTAGTTCACATGTGAACTACTTAACTGATTTATAGATGAACATGTGGGTTCATATATGAATCAGTTAAATAGTTCATATGTGAATTGGTTAAAATAGTTCATATGTTAATTACACAAGTTGACATATGAACATGTAGTTCATATGTGAATCACATAGATTCATATATGAATCCGTTCACCGACTATTCATAAAAGTTAAGAAAGTACCCCCTCTATTTTTCCATAGCCGCAATTTTTGACCAATTAAAGCTGCAATTATTGACTAGTGAAATCTGATCTTGACTATATGAAGGGTTATGATCACTTTTTTACTTCTCAGATATTTATCACTTCTCAAATATTTACCACTTCTCAAAATAACTTTTGGCTACATACCTAAACATTAATTTATTAAGTAACGTTAATATAATGAAAATTTTATTATAGAATAAAACTAAAATATATTATTCTAATTTATAGAAAAATAATGTATTAATAATAAAATAATCTATACTATATTATAAAGCATTTGACAAAAACTCTTAAAAACCATTTTTTTGGCATGAAGTATTGTATATTGATGCATATTACTTAAAATTCAAGATTAGAAGTAAAATATGATAAATACAACTTATTAAAGCTTAATGTTTGAATTTGTGTAACTAACTGCGGATAAAAATAATCAAATAGAGGATAAACATCTCATTCTAAAATATAAAAAATCTAAAATATAATTAAGATAATTATCGAGTTCTAACAAAATAATTAATTATTATCTTTATAAGAAAATTATATTATTAAACCAAAATATAAATTATTTTGTTATTGAACATAAGTTAAATTACAATAATAAAAAATTGAATTAAAAAATTACACAAAAAATAGGAATTTTAAATAGTTAATCTGATACTAATATTGATATATTTTTGTCAAATTTTTATGATATTTTCAAGTTTATATTTATTCCAAAATAAAAACATTATGGTTTTCTCAAAATCACATAAAGACCATACTAGAAAATCGACTGAAATAAAGAATATATGAAATATTAAAATCAAGTTGTATCTCGCTGCATTGCACGAGTACATTTCTAATTATTTAAATATATAGCTATATTTATGTTCGTTAAAAGTATTGATTTGGAAAATGCTTTTAAAGTAGTTTTTATTATTTAAAAATTAATTACAAAAAAAGTTTAAAAGGTTCATATCATTTTATTATATACTTGGCACATGTTCAATGCCAAACCCTCACAAGAATGTGAAGTCTTTTAACGATGTAAATGTACAAGTTTATTTGTTATTTCAAACCAAAAATGAAAACGTAATTTAAATGATGTTTGTACATACATTTTGTTAGTGATTATTCTAATATCAGATAATTAGACTTATCAACGCTTATGATTTGATACACAGGTTTTATTTGTTCACAAATATAGTGGTTCCATGGCATTGGAATCGGCAATAATCGTCCCACTGAGTTACGCCTTCTCCACCGCAACAATGATTTATACCCAAATTCTATCCCGAGACGTTCCCGAGCCTTTGTTGGATCTCAAATACGTTGGAGTTGGATTGTTCATAATCGGAGAAATTGGAAACTTTTACCACCATTGGCTTCTTGCTAATCTAAGGAAGAAAGGGGACAAAGAGTACAAAATTCCCAAAGGAGGGTTGTTTGATTTGGTGATATGCCCACACTATTTGTTCGAGATTCTTGCATATGTAGGAATCGCGAGCATTTCGCAGACACTGTATGCATTTTCTTTCACTTTAGGTACGATCTTTTATCTGACGGGGCGGAGTTATACCACACGAGAGTGGTACCTATCGAAGTTTGGGGACAAGTTCCCTAAGAACGTCAAGGCTTTTATTCCGTACATTTTTTAGATGCATGTTATAAAACTTAATGTCCCACGTTGTGGTTACATGTAAATTTGTATAAAGACGTCCTTTCTATTAAGTCTTTGAAACGTTTAGTTTTGTTCAGGTAACCAAAAAAATGTGTTTTTATTGTTATGATATAGTTGTGACAATCTCAACTGATTTACATGAAATTGAGTAAGTTTTGATTTTTTTTTAATGGGTCAAATAAGTCAAACTAAAAAATATTAGCTAAAAAGAAGCTTATAAAAATAGTCTGAAAGTCGTTCAATATTACACAAATATTTACAACCTGTTAAATTAGGTATTGATTCATATTGCAATTGCAAATAGGGAAAATTGCATCAAAATGAAACCAACTTTCACTTTATTTCTATTTTGAAAAACCAACTTTCAAAATCGTTATTTAAAGGTCTCTATCAAATTTTTTGTTTATTTAATGATCTCTATCAAACTTTTTGTTTATTTAAGGGTTTGGTTAACCTACTGAGCAGGTAACAAGTAATTTATTATGAGATGACAAATAATAATTTAAAAATATATTAGGTGGATATTAATTTACCAAATCATGATTATTATTAAAAGAAAGATTAACAAATCAAAATATGTGGATTTTTTTTTTTTTTTTTGAAAAAAGTCTTTGAATTTTTTTTCAAAATATTTGGATTTTTTTTTTTAAAAATCTTCAATTTTAAATTCGAATTTTTTATTTAAAAAACGAGATTTAGAATTAAAAATAGATTTTAGTGTATTAATTTTTTTATAATTAATTTTTGAAAAAAATGAATTTTAGTTAATTTTCTATAATTATTTTGTAATTTTAAAATATGACATGGAATATTAGTTTTAAAATAATAAATTAATATGACGTAAAATATTTTAGTTGGCAAAAGATTTAGACGATTTCAAAATTAACAAGTCAACAGGTTAACCAGACCCTTAAACAAACAAAACAATTTGATAAAGACCCTTAAATGACGATTTTGAAAATTGGTTCTCCAAAACAGGAATCAGGTTAAAGTTGGTTTACCAAAATAGGAATCAGGTTAAAGTTGGTTTCATTTTGATACAATTTTCCCTTACAAATACGTAATGTAACCATTAAACATTTGGTACACGTACTTACCAATTACGATAATTTCTAGACATATATTATTACGCGTTAACAAGACAGACCAAATACAACATATCTCACTCTTGTCAACTCACTTCACAACACTATCATATTCATGGCCAAAACAAATCCATTCAATATAACATATAGTCAAACATCACTCATCTCTTTCATTCTTCCAAATACCTTCACATCATAGGTCACCGACTCTAGTCCTGCAAAATCACTGGGTTTTTTCTGACTGTTCTCTAGGGTCTCTTGGATTAGTCAAGGTGTACACAAGCTGTCTTGAAAACTCGTGGTCGACAAAAACAATATTTCAGAAATATTAAACAAGAGCCGCATTGGACAGCCGTCCGGTCGGTTCGTTTTCGACATAAATCTCATTTGTAAGGGTAATTCGATGACGCCATTTTTACATTGCACAACTCATTATGCCTCGAGAAAATCAGGTGTCAAGTCCCTTCCAAATGTCAGCTGGAGAATGCTTTATACACAAGTTACTCGTCTACAATAAAAGCACAAGGCAGTAGTAATAGTAATAGTAGCAGTATGGCCTGCACTGAAACATAAATATGGAGCAAAAAAAGGGTTATCACGAATCTATATACGCTATACATCCACGGCCAAAATCTCACGACACAACCAAATGGAAATATCACCTAAACTCTAACATCACCCTGCTGCACAAAAAAGAGAACACACGCACGCACGCGTGCTTGCTTCTCTATTATCTGTGCTACCTTTCTCAACAAACAAATATACATCTACCATACGTCCATACCCATATCATTATTATCTGCTGCTGGTTTTCTTTCAGTCGATGCTTCTCTTAAAACGCCACATTTATCTCTTGCTGCAGCCTCATCACAAGTACTTATTCACCTGCCTAGTTGTAGATTCTTACTGGTTTCTCATATGTGTGTCGGTTCTGCAAATACCAACAGTCAGCTACTACACCATTTAATAACTTTGTAAACTGGAAAGATTTACATTTATTATATTATATGTCATAAAAATAGTCTGCGTTTGACTGTTGAGTGTTATATGGGTTATAAATTAACAATTTTATGTGGTAAAGAATCCACCATTACATCAAAGGAGTACTAAAATAGATAGAACTTGGATATATTAAAAAAAACTAGAAGTTCAATGCACAGGCAGAGGTCGGGTGGGGGATATAATGTACACCGAGCTTTTTCTTCACCGCAAGGGGGTCGAGAGGTTTAGTGTCAGATATGAATTTACAAAATTGGAGGTCCAAACCACTAACATCAAGTAAGCTAGTTTTTGGGATGGAGCGAAGTATGAGGAAAGCCGTAGTGAGAGCACTTATTGTCTTTATCATGGAATCATTAGATTCATGTACCTGATTTGCAGCATACGACCTTTTGGGTGTATTATCAGAATGTTCCAATCCCAGATACTGTTCCCAAGCACCATAAACATCTCTTCTCTGAAACCAGAAGAACACATTAAATCCAGTTATGACATATGCACAGAATTCATATGCCACTGTAGAAAACATGTGCATTGCTTGTAAGGGTCAAAAGATAAGCTTCATGGTAAGTGTGTCTGTTTCCAGAAAGAGACGAAGAATTTTATTGACCTGAAAACGGCTGGAGACGATATCCGAGTCCTGAAGGTATGTGGGACGGCCCAAAGACAGAAATGCAAACTTCCACTGATATACGACGATAAATATTTCAGGTAAAATGATGCAGTATATCATACCAGAAAGAAAAAAAAATTAGAAATTGCCAGACTGGCTGAAAAGGGGTCTGTTGTAACTTGAGAGGAAAACCATTCACAGTAGAAGGAAAAGAAATACCTTTGAAAACTCCTCATCCGGAACCTGTAATTTCTTCTGTATCCGTATTTTAACATCAGCTAATGTCTCACCTTCACGAATGACAAGGAAAAATGGTTCCCCAAAGTTCTGGACCTGCTGCTAGTACAAAATAACATACAAGCACAAATAGAATTAGCAATGACAAAAATAAAATATGATCCAGAAGCAATAAGTGCATACTACCTGGTTTTGAGCTGTGTCTTTCATGAAATGATAAACATGAATGAGACGATCCTGAGAATCAAGGTCCTTCTCCTCTTCTGGAATCTGAAAAAAGAACGATTCTCAAAACTGAAAGGGAAATTATAAACCTGACAACACAAACTCCAAAGTCCAAATGCTGACAACTAGACTGCAGTAGGCAAGAATAGTTGAAACAGGCATGTGAGGTCAAACTGTCAAAGATGTGTAATGGTTCGATAGAAAGGAGAGAAGTAAATGTGAAATTTGAGCAAAGATATTCACAAAGACATTAAGAAGACCGATGAATAAATGGGTAAAGTGGCTAGTATGAAAAAAAAATATGAGTGCCAACAACGGGAATAACAATAAAGAAAATAACAGCAAATACTTCTAAGGCTGCATATGACAAAGATGGATAGAGTAACCAGTTACCACATACCTCCTCGGCACGTAAAGTCCAGTATTGATCATTAATATTCTCAATTTTTTCATTGAGGGGGAATATCTGCATATATGGAGGCAAGTTAGAAGAAAGGAAGGCCTGTATAACCAGCAGAAAAAATAATATAAAACATTAAATCTAAGAAAGAGCAGAGATAAAGGTCGTCACAAGACGAGAGAATCATATTTGTCTGTAGCATATACAAGACAACCCTTTGATAAGTTATGAATATTTTTCAATGGTGGACCAGATTTATAATCATCTGATTCATGTCAGAATCCCAAACCCAATAAACTACCAATATCAACTGCAAGAACCGCAGAGAGAGAACACCATATATGGACTATGACGTCTTCAATGATTCGGCTCAAATAACCATTGTCGTGTAGTGAAAGAAACTGAGAACATCAATTACCTTGTAAATCTTATGATAGAAAACCTCCAGCAGTCGGAGCTCTGCATCTTTATGGGATAACTCAACCTGTTCCACAATGCATTAACCAGTTAACTATCAAGCATGAATGAACAAGAAAACATTTAATGATATGATGCAAACTAAAATTGATAATGGAGAAAGAATGAAATTAAGTTGATGGTATATTTGTGAAGTTGGGCATACCTTTGTCTTGAGATCATTGATTACATCCCCAACCGTGCTCTGCTTTGGCAATCTAATAGTATGTATAACTACCTAACAATTAGTTGAAATGAACATATCAGTATTACAATAATAGGTTATGCAAAAAGTTGAAAAGATAGTCAGAACTTACTTCATCTTTGGTAGCATGATGAAAAGCAACTTTAAGAGTTTTCAGGCCTTGCAATTCTGGCAGAGGGATATCCAATACTTCGTAATACAAAATATCTGAAGTCTGTGCATGACAAAAAAAAAAACTTACATGAGTGTATATTACTCAAATAGGAAAGCAGCCGAGTTTTCACTGTGTGCCAAAATATTCCCAATAAGAAAGCAATGTACTTTGTTGTTTTGGGTTCCGAAACCTCAAGTAGGACTTATAGCCTTCCACCATTGGTAACGGCAAAGAAACACAGCTAGCTGTGTGCATTATGCAAACTCAAAAACTTCAAAAAAGAATTACAAAAACTCCAATAACTGAATCAATGTATGTTACCCAACCTTTCACTGAGATCGATATGCATGGGATCCCCTTTTACATCACATTATATGAAGGGGAAACCTCCAACACACCTTAAACCTTACAAAATTGCTCCAGTAGTAATAATTTCGGGTTTTATGCTGACAAAATAAGCTAGCATATGATTTCATATTCAGGCCAAGTACCACCACATATTTCTCCGTTCATATAGTGTAAAAGTATGAAGGGGCTCCATATATGTATATAATATATATATATACACATACACACATGCACATAAGGTGTGCACATACAGATGTATACAGATAGGTATATAGGTGTATATGTGTGGCCAGTAAAAAAAATATCAATTATTCCATTAGAAGCCGAGTTATAGAATATATCAAGGTAAGAAGCATCACATCGATCATGCCAACATAAAAATGATAAACAACCTGGTTGTAGTGCGCCAGCATGTCTGATAGATGTTCCACACCACGGTACTTGATTGGTTGGGGCTTAGGTTGCTGGGAGTAGCAATTATGAGAAGTAAGCCTGATTTTAGATGGGTCATCTAAGTTTAAATGGCTGGCAACTCTTTCAACAACATCGTCGTAATTGTTAAGTTTTGATCTGTAATTGCAAGATCATGAAATGAATAATGTAAGATCAAATGTTATTTCAATCGGTAGTCCAAAGACCTAAATATCCTGGAAAACTTACAATTCCAGAGAGAATTCGTCCTCCTTTGGCTTCTCTAGTGAACGAAAGCGTACAACCTATTCGCCATAAGGGGTAATGCAAATAAATAAATTGCAAGGTTTTTCTTAATCACACACAAACAGAAAATTAATATTAAAAAAGTTTGAGAATTAAAAATTAAAAGGACAAAGACAAAAACTAAAAAAAAATTTGAGAAAAACACCCTATGCATCAAAATTTATATATGAAAAGATCGTCTAGTATGAAATACAAAAGGTAAGCCTAATGCGTAAACAAGAAATGTAGTTTATTTTATTTCCTGCGTTATATCTCCTAATTATTTGAATGTTATCTAACTCGTCATGCAGATATGGCCACATAATATGCTCAGCTGCCAACTCATAATTTGTCAGGGGTTAAGCTTAGTTGGTGCATTATCTGGGTCGTCATACTCTACATGCATACATACATAAATGTATATAATACAGTTGACTCATAATAAAAGAAGTGATAGAAGAGAGAGAGAGAGAGAGAGAGAGAGTGGGGAGGTACATATTTTTAAGCATGTATATTTGAGTTGTAACTACAATGTAATTTTATTATTGTAAAATTCATCAGTAGAATTTACAATAACTTGGAACAAATAGAGAGTTCACGTTGCATCCTTCCATCCATCTACTTCTCTAAGATGGTTCATTTTTATAAGATACTATAGATTCAGAAGTTAGCTACTGGTTCCACAAGACAGTGATTACTGCCTTAGATGTTCATTTATCTTGGTTAAAAAGGCATCAAAGGAAATGTAGCTTAGTTATAGAAGAAGACAGTGATGCAAAGTATCAAATTCTAGTCCACCAATTACCTGGTAAGTATGGCTGTTTAATTCAAATTTCACATAACCACCTTCTTAGACTTGCTTATCTTATTGCTTTGTTAAAACCGACTCTAAATGCCAGTTTCAAAACCTAGTGCTCATAAACCTTTTTCACTTCCCCTTCTAGTACGGACAGCAAATTCCATAAGAAAGCAAATTTTCTGTGGGAGATCTTCCAAAGATCATCATAATCTACTGAAATATAGATCACAGAAATAGGAATCATAATTTCACCTGAGTTATAATAATCACCCACAGGGATGCATTATATAACCGTCTACTTCCCATACAGCATAACAAAGAGAATGAAGTGTGATATAATTATACTTTTGTCAAACCTGAGGATAGCCATAAATCATCTTGCATTTCAGAAGAATATCTATTTCATGCTCGATAAACATAAGATCGTGTACAAATAATATCAACATAAAGCATGAACGTGTACAAATAAGATCATTGGTTGCATGATTGCACGGTATGCAGAACGGTCTATCATACCGCACCAGCTACTGTTCTGGGCTTATTATAACACCCCCAAGTAAGAATGTTGGTACACAATGTCAATTTACTACTTGCAAGTTGCAAGTACTATACCATTTATGGAAAACTAAACCAAGGACCATACAAATTTATAGTATTAAATTGAAATAAACCCATTCCATCTTTAACATAAGTGGCATAATATACCAAGGTTCATGATATACCTGACGGTTATGAACATATTCCAGAAAGGACGGAACATCAGGATAACGGCATGTTTCGGTACTTTCAACATGAAGAGCTTTCTGAAAGCAAATAATGTCCCCATCCTCAAGCTAGAAGGCCATACAAACCAGAAAAATCTTGCAATCAGGTAACTAGAACATTCAATTAAAGCAAAGAAGAAGCTGCTGCAATGATATAAAAGTACATTGCAACAAATTAGAGAACCACATTTGGTATACGTACCTGACTACCCCGAAAAGTAAGCTTCTTGTCAATGTGTTCACACATAACATTAGGTTCAAATTTAATTTCCTGTACGAAAGGAGGATAATCAAGGTAACAATCTAAAAGATTCACAAGAGAGCATAAAGTCATAACAAAATCTAATAAAAGGAACAAGTTTTTAAATACTGACCTCAAAAAGTTCAAGTTCTTCCTCACGTCCAAAGCCAGCCAGTTCATTAAGCTTTGACAGTATTTCTATTGGCTTTCCAGTACCCTTTACAAAGAGCCTCCCAACATATCTGCCATGTTAAAATATCTAAGTAATACAGCTTCCAAGTAATATAGAAATAGCATAAGAATAAGTACAAAATGGCAACATGATCTTTGGAACATCCAAGGGGTACGAAAGTGAAAGGAAATTTTCTCATGAATAAAATTTTCTTTAGGTTCATTCCAACTCATCCACGTAACCATATATTGCCCTATTTGTGTCATTCCAAAAAGGTTATGTCTTTGGTTTTAGTTAGATCCATGGGTTAGTGATAACTGTCTGCTGCTATAAACCAAGTCCAAGTTGGTTCCATGAATCTACCCTCCATCGTCCCTACATATAATTTGATATCTCATGGTTGGTCTGGTCAAACTGTTCCAATGTGTGATAGTTTGGCAAGTACTGATGCTCTTCTGTTGATAAAATAGTATGTCTCGTCAAAATTTGCTTCAGCATTCACATGAATGTCTTCGGACAAAGTATATTTACAACAGAATTGCAGCCCGTATGTCAACATCCTTAGGCTTTTTCCATTCGTCATTCATTGAAGCACTTGAAGTAAGAAACCCCATTTCAAGAGCGTCAATTGTCATTCTTTTAGAAAGGAATCAATTTTTAACTTCTTATGGGTGGCAGAGCAAGAGAAGGGGTTATAGAAGGCAATAGGTCTGTAACAGCAGAAAGATTGGTTATAAAACAGTTTCTACATGGAGATTATAAATGCTCATAAGGCCTTGCTAAAAACTATACACCAATCATTATCAAAATATATATGTGTATATATACACCAATGCCTATCCATCTATTTGCATGTTTGGGGAACTTAACATGGATACAAAGCTCTAGCTTTAAAAGATCACGGGTGCAGGTCTTCCACCTTTATTTGTTTCCTTAATCCTTACTATTCAAAGCGCAATGATAACTCGTTATTTGCTGAATAATTCTCCAGATTTTTCAAACTTTTGTGTGTTCTTTCAAGTGAAATTAGAGCGTTTAACAGTGTTTTTAAGTCTAATTATGTGCAAAATGATAAAAGACCAGTAAATATCAAGTAAAAGGGACTGCCAACCGAAAGAAGTAACCATGTGGCACCAGTTCCAAAACACTAGATTCTCCTGAAAGCCACTTCAAAAGCGACCTCCATAATCGCCTTCAAAGTTGCTTACTGACAGCGACTTCTGAATGCTACCTCAAAAGCGAGCTTCAAAGTTGCATACAAGGTCGCTTGAAAGCGAGTTCAGAAGTCACCTTCAGTTTCAGTAGGGATTTCGCCTCTTTTTGACCTAGGAAATCATTTGCAGAGTTACCCTCCAATTTTTGAAGAGGTCCCCTCCTCCCTTTGTTCTTCATTTTTCCTTTTGATTTCTTAGTTTAGGCTATTTAGATGCTTTAATTTGGGATTCAAGCTTTCGTTTTGTAATCAGACCTATCTTCAAGTTTTGGCATAAGCATTTCTCTTTCCCTTTTTTCATTTCCATCTTTGACATTTATGCTTATCATTGTTCTCTTTGTTTTACCTTTGTTTAGCAAGTATTTCTTTGTTTGGGATTGGAAAAAATCGTGTTGTGTGAATCTTGTTACTTTCAGTTAGGTTGGTTAAAATGTGTTGATAATAAGTGTTCATGAAGAATTATATCACGTCCGGACTAATGATTACTGTATTAATTATTCCTTCATTTGTGATTGAACAAAAGTTAAATATCAGACTTGTTAACCTAGCTTTACATTGAAGTTCCCCCATCAAAATGGCTGGGAATACTGATTGAGGATTGTTGTGGCTAAGTTCTAATACTTCCATCATGTGGAACTGTTAGAAACTAACCACGATGCATCATGGATTGGCCTGTCCTGCCTTGAAAGAGGGTTTAGGTATTTTAGCACCATTTCTTTCCGTGGCACCGGTAAGTAAGTTTAATCAATTATTAGATAGGAGTTGCCATTTGTATGCCTCCCATTGTTCAACCCATATGAAACAGCATCCGTACGCTTGCAGTAAACCTAGACTCATCATGCAAATTAAATGGCCTGTGCATATTGGAAGTGACAGAAAGTACTATATTTTGGATGCCACGCACACAGGTATAGAAACTCACTTGTGTGTCGCTAACCCAACTTTCTTGGCATAACAAGAGCACATAAACAAAACTAAGAGTAATGAAAATAACCATAAGACAAACAACTGGTGCTGCGAGTAAGCCGCAATGGAGCCACACCCCATGCAGCTAAGCCACATTAAAGAATATAGGGTTTGTCCAGATAGATGAAGTGGGAATTGTGAGTCTAAAAATGGCAGCAACACCCTATGTGCCCCCAGCACGTATGGCAGCCCAGCACAAGTAACAATTCTTCAAAAACTTAGACAAACTATGTGGCTTCACATTTTTGCATCTTACTCGATAATGAATTGACAAAAAAAATCACACAAAAATATGATTAGCCAACAGAGTAAACCATAAGATTCAAGTGAAAGGAAATATAGTTCTTTAAAATATTCCTAATTTCGTTCTCTGTCGGATTATCAACTATTAAACAGTAAGTTGTGCATTTACATTAGCAGGTTTCCATATTTTCAAAGATTCTGCCACCACCTCGAGTCAACTATAAGAGATTCTTAATAAATGTTATAATACATGGTAGGCTTCAGAAGCTCATGGAAGTATAAAATTAATGGGTTTTAGGCTGGTGGGAAGCAATTTGCCAGTTAAAGTGCAGAGTAGAAAAATATTTGCAGTAATGTGTATATAGCACTATAATATGCATCTATGATATGATACCATGTGTATATGTTTGTACATACACACACGTGTGCATGTATATACAAATATGTATATATATAAGAGTGTGTTGTATAGAGAGAGAGGGAGTAGATACCGCAGCTCCTCTTTTGAAGGATCATAAAGTTTAAAGAAAAGCAAAATCTCCTCCTTAGTCTTCTCAGGTGGAGGAATTGGCCGCAAGTCCTACATTCATATGGCAGCCAGTCAAGTTAACAACAAAGAACCATGTTAGATTGAAAGTCCTATATTCGCATAGCATATGATAGAAAGTTGATTGAAAATCAACATGCAAACATAATATATTATCAGTGACATCTACCTGCCCAACTTCTACTTCCAGAAACAGCTTAAGCTCAGCATTGTTAGCCTTATTTGATACCTCTCGCAAATGTCCAACCTAAATCACATGGAATTTGACATGTTAACAATCGCCAAATTATAATGAATGAGGGATTAATATAATGCTACATAACCCAGAAGAAAGCATTCAGTAGGTGATGGGTAGCTCCAAGGAGAATTTATTTTCCTATTGAAACACTAGTAATTAACTAAGCTCCTAGTAGCATTTATCCATCCAAATTCATTCCAAGATTCTCTTCTATTTTTCATAGTTGACGCTGATTTCAGATTTTTGATCCCCCACCATCCTCTTCTACTCAATAGATGATATTATAAAAGCAGAAACCAAATCACTTAGCAACTATGACAAAAATTCTGGAACAGACAGATGAGAATACTGTTGCACAACCTAGCAGAGAGAAGTAGGACATGATGCTTGCTCCAGTAACCAAACATTCTGATGCAGAGAAAATCAAAGGGGATAGCAGATTTTCCCATGGATCGATAGGAGAAGAAAAAAGGGATCCAAAGAAACCCAAATCAAAAAATGTCATAAATTTTAATTTTGATTGCTTTTTTTGCAAGAATTCCATCATTTTAGAAACTAATTGATTATGATTATTTTTCATATATAAGTTTCTCTAATTAGGACAGTATCTATCTCGTTGAATTTTTAATTTGATTTTGATTTTTAGCTTGTCCTCCAAGTTTAGTTTAACCTATAAATAAGACCTTTTGTAACCTTAGAATTCAGTTCTTGATAAATTAAATATATAATTTTTTGGTTTTGAGTGGATCTCCAAATATCCAGGTTCATCCCGTTTCCCATCATGAGTCACATTCAACATTGAACATATTTAGAGCTTCAAACTTCCACCCTATTTGTCGCAAAATACATGCAACCATTTTCATTTTAGGTTGAGCCAAAAAAAAATGCAATATTTCCTCTATTGGAGAAGTTTCATGTCAACTTTATTCATCTGTCCATTTATTGAATACAAGATATTAGAGACATTGTTGATCAACAAGATTCATCTATTCATCTTTACTAAGGGGTATTTTACATATTTGCCTAACGATCAAACACTTAAACTAAATTATGGCCTAGTCGAACATTGCATTTATTTTTAAATGGGCAATAATAAGTTCAAGAAAAATAACACAGCCACAGCATCCGTGTGTGTTTGAACAGATTCTTCAGACAATAAATTCTAGCTGTAACCAGTGAAGGTCACTTCAGATGTAATTGCAAGAAACCAAGATTTTACTCCTTCAAGGCTATATTATTACAGTTGACAAGAGTTTACCCTCTCCACAGCCAGACATCTATCTTTGTATAGCACCTGATATTTGGCATTTATTTGTTATGTAATAATCACCACTATTGGCATATAGCTCCAGAGGGCTGTTTCTAAAAAGTTCTAACTAATGTTTTCGAAATTTATTCATGAAGAAAGCAAACTCGATATCAATATAGAATAATTGCCCCCATAGTGATGAATCGCTTCTTTAATATTATATAGGTATATATTACCCTGATTTTTAAACAATTATTGTCTTCTGGGTGTCCAATGTTTACTGGTCACCACTCTTGCAAGAATCTTTTCTCAGCCTCTGGCAGTTGAAATCAATCAAGGATGCCCTAACACTAGGGCCATATAATTCCATTCATTGATAAACTAACATATGCTTCACTATCAGATATATGTGTGTACAGTTTTGAAAATTTTGGTCTAAATCATACAATTTGATATGGTTCAAAGTCAATGACTCGCAAAAGTGAGATTATGAGCTTGTTACGAATCATGATTTCACAACTATTGATCTGAAAAACTCGAGAAACAATTTCCGATATCTAACATAATTAGTTTATGTAATCAACTGATGAACTCCTAGATAAACCCTGGCCAATATAAACAATAAAGAAATGCTAGCGCCAGTTCACCGAAATTTCAGATACTGCCTTTATCCCACAGGGACTTGACAAGATCAACAAAAAGTGAGAAGTTCATGACAAAATCTGGGAATCGAGTCCTCTCATAATACCATATACAGTAAACCAATAGCACTAAATTGAGTTGTAACTGATAGGAATCAAATCTACATTATTGGGAGTTGTAGTCCTCCGCAGACCTTCCAAAATCAAAATATAGAAAAAACCAAATGCTAAATGGTAATTGGAGGTAAATGTGTTTTGCATATTGCCTATGGTCAGTACTACACTTGGCAAAAGCTATAAGAAACAGATATAACTCAGAATAAAGATCAAAGTAGATGATAAACACATTCAAAGGTGGAGTTAAAAAGTACATACAGACTGAGCTTCTTCCTGAGGAGTCAATGGACGATTAGGGCGGTAAGTGTGATTTTGGCGCTTTGCCCACAGCCAGAAACGTTGATGCTGCACTGGTATACCCAATTCTTTTGCAACTTCCTCCTGAAATACAGATCTAAAATTCACTAAAACATCTCACTTGACAACTTTATTTGAAGCATGTTAATGATACCAAAAAACTTGCAAAGTGCTAATCTATGTTGATCCATCTACATCGCTGATACAAAATGTAAAAAGTGCCACTGTCTCAACCACATGGATAGAAAATCTTGCCATCGTTGTTTCAACATGATATGAAAGAAAATAAGTAAATAATTATGGTACCTTCACCAGTCGCCATAAACATCAGGAACCATAAATTACAACGCAAGACGGATATAATCATCAAAGCAATCATGCCTTAGAAAGATACTATCATCACGACTGCAAACAAAACTACTCCTAGTGACGACTTCCTCATGATTGTTGTTGCCATCAAAAAGAACTATATGAAGTATGAATATTCCTCAACAAGTTAAATCTGACAAAGTCCTTAACCATGTTTACCGTTATCTGTTGTAGTTTGTGTTATGTTCAATAGTTTAAGTCAACATGGTTAGAAGACTTGAAAGCATAGTACCAGTATGTAGACAACATATTGAACTTATCTCCAACATTTTTTAGTTTTATCTTCACTGACAAGTGACAACTTCAAGCAAGTGCAAGTAGTTGATCCTTGTTAAGAAAGAAAATGGGAAGGTATATTGCCAAGAACAGGGCATCATGATCATGTCCATAAAACAACTGCCTTAGAAAGATCCCATATTCTTGCAACTAATGGTTAGTTACTCAGCCACTCATGACCATTTTTCCCAAATGATAAGAACCCAGGGCTGTTGACATAATTTGTCTTAGTGACCAAGATAAAAGCTGCTAACTGGGAATTTATCTGGGTCTTCTTTTCTTTCTTTTTTATCTTCCACAGAGGGAGGGATTAAAACATGCATATTCCTGCCTTCAAAGACAAACATGCCCAAGTGCCTATTTGTTAACTTTATGAACAAATGCTGTCTGGATAAAGAGATTTGTATGGATAGACTGTCAAAACTAAGCGGTAAATAGGAATTTATTATTTGTTAATTGGGCTCAACAAAGAGTTTGAACGACTAGAAGATTAGTATTTTAACCCTATGTCAGGAATAAGTTTGAATTAAAAATGATTTGTTAGTTGAGCTTTTTGAATGACAAACTATTATCAATTTAAACGAATGATTTATGTAAATAAAAGAACATTTGATATCACGTGAATTATAGATTCAATGATATTATCACATCATTAATGAGAAAAGAATATAATAATAAAAACAACTATTTTTTTATTAACCTAGATATCCAACCCGCTATGCGAGCCGACTAATCCCAGAGCGACCACCTGCTTTGCACATAACCCGGAGTCACCGCATTTGAACCTCCGTGGCCACAAGGGGATTTTTATTCCTTAAATAAATATTTTAAAGGTCCAGTGCCGCCTATTTGATTTTATATGTAATTTCACAAAAATGGTTATTTATTGCTTAAATTTCTAAATGTCCACTACAAAAATGAAATAAACTAGTAGAAAAAAATAAAGTAATGATTATAAATGGACGATAAAGTAAGTTATGTTTGAAAACTTAATAAAAAAATTACTGTGTTTTTTAGGCAAAATAAAATAGAAAATGCTGTATTCTATTTGAGACAAATCAAGTGAGAATTATTAATTGATAAATTAACAATTTGAAAGGAAACAGATCATCACCTTTTTTTGCAGACAGCCTAAAATAAAAGGTTTTGTAATAATTTTAAACAGAAAGAATAAAACAGTAGAGCAATCAGAATTTGATCAAATGCACGTGTACTTGTCCTGTACACGTGATGTGGCATGTTGTGGCCTAATTATAAACAGCAAAGGTGCAAAATGAACGATATCACAGGAGCATTAGATATAGGATTACTGACAATAAACAGATTGCTAATTAAATGTTCAATGATCATCATTGTTTGTTGTTTCCTTTTTATTATTTTCTGTAAAATTACTAACATAAAAGGTGGAAATTACATTTTACCACCTTGTTCAACACTACCAGGTCAAATTGAAGTTACACTGACAAGCGCAGATACATAGTTTTGTGCAAGAAAAGTCTAACTCCAGAAACAAATAATCATGCTTTTACACATTGAAAACATAGATTCTGATGTAAATCTAAACAAAAAGCTAAAGAGGAACTATGATGGTAACCAAAGATTGTACCTTGAAAAGAGCAAAAGAGGTTTGTTTTTGAATACGGAAACTATGAACTTTGTCATGATCCACTAGATCAAAATATATATATTTTCCAATCTGTTCATGAAGATCCCCATCACGTGCAACCTAACCACATAATATAACAGGGTAAATCAAAAACGGTTCATAAATCTCAATATAGTAATTCCAAGCAGGCCATTGGATGTTATTACCTTTATGATTGTATACAAATGTGCCTCTGCTTTTTCCTTTCTTTTTTGCTCCTTCTCTTCTTGTTCTTTCTTCAATCTTATCTGAAAGGTAAGAGGGCTTAATGTGGTGTTGAGTATGGTTACAGCAATAATCCATATCAAAAACTTAAACATCTTACTCTAAGGTGCTCTGCTATATCCTTCTCATCCACATTACAGATTATTTTCTCCTTGTCACTTTCACGTATATACACAAGCATGTATGCATTTGAATACTTTGTAAATTTGAATGGAGAGTTGTTGAACCCAGGATTTGCTTGAGGTAACTATTTCACAAGAGGTTACGAATATATAAATCAGAGATCAGTTTAAGCAAGGAGTATACTAACTAATCTACAAATCAATTTTATTATGTGCCAGATCATCACCTCCTCCTCGCCTCCATATTGCTCATCCAAAGCTCTCTTTATATCTTCTTTGGTTACACGTTCATCATCAAATTTAAACCTACAAGAAACTAATTTAGCAATTACAGTGAAAAAAAATACGGAGTTAAAACAAAGGACACTTTCTCACCAAAATGAAGGCAAATCACATAAACAACCGGTACTTGTTCAGTACTATATAGTGCACAAGAAAACATGATGGCTAACTTCCAGTGGATGTCACTAGCTAGTTGTATGCTTCACCATTAATAAATAAATCATATAGCCAAACCAATATTATTATGACATAAACTCGACCACCAAACCAATATTATGCTTCTCAAACATGCATGAATCAATAGCATGAAAAAGGAAAGAGCAGCAAACACATCCGAGAAGGAAAAATTAGCTAACTAAAAGAGGAAAACAGAAAACACCATAGCTGCAGACAATCTGAACATGAAATGCATTAGTTACGTACTCAATTCAGTGGATCTTCACTAGCAAGTTATCGGAGACAATTTCATATAGAACACATGCAAGTAAATAAGGAAATGGATAACAAATATGATAAAATTATATGCAGCTCAAAAACAAAATAGAAGTCAAAATAAAATCAAACGATCACAAATGACTATCAAGCACATGATGTTTCTTACCACTGATCAGAAAGTGTTGGCCTGATATAGGCATAATAATGTCCACCATGTACTCCACCACTGTGGACCAACACACTGCAAAAATAATGTGAATTGAAAAAATTCAGACGCTAAGCAGCAATAATAGCTGATATCCAGCCCTATTTGAGAAAATGCCATTACAGAATAATTAATGTGCACGTTGGAGAATTAATTTCCACCTCCAACCATTTGTAGCTTGAGATACACAATTCGTAAACAATAATCCCCAAACAACAAATTGGAAAATGTCTAGAAACACATGCCACCAACAACATACATAACAGAGCAGTACAAAAATTAATTCAATACAGATAAAGGTTCTCACTGTAACATCAATTGCTCTTAAATTGTGTTTAAAAAATCACTCACAATTGAGATCTTTGAGATCAATGAGAGTTTTGATTGGTTAGAAACATGTCGACATGTATGAACAATTAAGACGCAAAATGAACCAACAAGACTTGTTAAATAGAATAAACAAATATTCTTAAAAAATACATTTGAAATGAATAAGTAGTTAAACCAATCAAATGGTTGATTAACATGCAACCAAACAAGGTGTAAGAAGTGCATAGGCGTTGCCGTGTTGGTAAATCAAAGAAGTTGCTACAACAAATGACTGGAAAGCTAAAATATGGCAAAAAAAGGGAAAAGCGTCAAAGCAAATGCTATGTTCAAAAGCATGTATGTGCAAGTTTGACCAACAAGACTACAACCCTATCCCTATTAGCAAGTGATATTACAATAATATTCTTAAGGTAACTCTCTCGATATGAAATTTCATTCCTGCATCTTTTCATCATTTGAGTAATAATCCTTTGATCCAAACTGTTTAAGGTGAACATTTTGTATTTATTTAGCCATATGAGCAAGATGACCATTAAGGTAAACAAGAATGACTTTCCTTTATGATAACTTTCACATAGAGAAGTGCAGTCCTCCACCATAACACTATCCATTTATACTACTTGCACAAAGTCACCAAACACTATAGACTTTGTACAACTAATCTAAAGCATATGTTTGGGATAAAAGCAGAGCACATGCTTTCAGGCAGACGCTCCTTGGCTAAAGTAAATGATTTGGTAAACATAACCCAACGAACTATAAAAAAAACATCCATAAATGATGGTATTATGTACACGGTCATCTCAATTGAGGAGTGGGTAATCGTACTTAGGACAAGCCTTATTTAGTTTTTTCTATAATCAAAACCCTTCCCATCCTTTTGTGACAAGAAGACAGTTACAGATCTAATAAACATAATCCAAGGTCGGCTTCATCTGAAATTCTGAACGGATTGAGAAAATATTCAATTGGACTATCATACCTGTGAAGAGTATAAAGATTGCGAACACTTCTGTCTGCCTGGGGTGATAAATACTTCCCATCCTCTCTATCAAGATCGAGTTGCAAGGGGAATTCATAGCGGTCATTTATCTGCTCAATCAAATAGTTTTATGTAAAAATTCCCATATATGCCTGTTCCAGAAACTCGTCTTCTGATAGAACAAACCATTTAATATTGGAAATAAACCATAAGCAGCGTTGGTTATTGTTATTTCATAAATCTCATAAATTAAGAATTGAAATAAACCACAAAGACTTTATATCTAGACGTCCGGTATATGATAATAAGTTGATAATGCCGATGCCATTCAACTACAAATGCACAACAGCTCATAAGAAAGCATAGCTAACCAAAGAAGTCAAGAAAAGCGCATAGGATTATCGCAAGTATGTGAAGGAAGTTGGAAGGCAATTAGTAATTATTACAATGTAATGATTTAGTTTAATACTATTCAACTGTCAAATAAATCAAAAAGGAGTTGACTTAACCTTTCAAAATTCAGAATTAGAGTCTAATTCCACTTCACAGAGGTTTTCTCGTTAGGAAGTTTTCCCTTCTCTACATTGTTCACTACATTCATCAATCCAGAGGGCATATGATATGGTGCCAAGAGAGGTTACATATGCTGTTGGGAATAAGTAGGACATTCAAATGCATTTCAATGTGATTAAAGATGTGTTGTGGTAACTAGTCTGAAAGCATGTGACAGAGTGAACTGCTTATTATTGTGATATGATTATACCAAGAATCATCCCTGAGTCCAATCTTTTCTTTTTAGTTATGAACGAACTCGCACAAGACAGATGAGACACTATGCCGTATGCTTTTCATTTAAATACCGAGACTAGGCAAGGTTAGAAGAAACAGGGAGAGAGAGGAAGTGGTATTAGTGAGACAATTAAAGATTATTGCACGTAAGTAAACATCCATAGTCATAAATGCAGAATTTAGCCAGCATATTTTCTAGCATTTGACTGCATATAATTGAAGGCTTTTTCCATAACCGATCATAAAATTATTACCTGTACAATGAAATGGCTCGCATAGATTTTTCAAGAGAACATTGTTTGGTGACACTAGGGATAAGGATCAATATGATCCCCTCGACCTCTTTGCCAAAAAGTTATACCTTGAAACTACAATAAGTCTTTACCATGTTGCAGATGTAGACAGGGTAACACTAATCCAAGGAGTGCACACAAGGACATCAACTTCTCCTTTTGATGGTGAAAGAAAGGATGAGGCCCAGTATAGCACTCTTACCATTGAAGGTGGGTATGGGAAAGGGATATTTTGCGCTCTTTAGTCTTGCACATGAGACACTGTCAGCATAGTTCTAGCATGTGATTCAAACTGAAGCAACTCCAAAATCAATGACGGATTGACGGCTATCCTTGATATGGAATTTAGATAACAATGAAGCAACCCCAAAATCATTGACGGCTATCCTTGGTATGAAAATTTGATAACAATAATAGAACTGGTGGTGGTAGTGGTAGTAATAATGATATCTATCACTTCTGTGAGACCATAGTGGTCACCAGCCTGCCCAGCATATACATTGATTGCATAAGCTCAGTAAAACCTCCGACTGAGAATCACTACACAATTCAAAAGCACCAACCAACAAGAGCCGGAGCCCTTGACCAATAAAATGACAAAATTTCAAGTTTCCTTGAAACTGCTGTGCTGATTATATGGTACTTCCTTTAGTTACATTGATTGGGGTGGAAGGTTATTGTTGTAAGATGAACAACCTTATGCAGAGAAAGAAAAAGAATATGTGCATCAACCACAAAGCACCATTTTCAAAACAATCAGATGATGCCCTTCAGGTGGGCAAAAATTCACACTTAGAAAGCACGTAAAATGTCAAAAATAAAAGCCATATTATAAGGATCAAAATTACCAACCTTCACCATCGTATCTCGCATGAAATCATATTCAAAACGTTTTAACTGGAGTTGAAGAACAGGGGGGAAATCAATGAACAGGACGCCCTTCTTTGCATCCTGTGAAGACCATATCCACAAGATTGAAATGTGAGAAACCAAAAGGATAATTCACATCAAACTTAAATATATGCAAACAAATTCCCAACTTACCATATAAGCTAATTTTATTCAGAAGCTTCTACAGCTAATATATATTTTTAAAAACTCAATAGGTCTTGTTGTGGGTATCATTTCCATATAACACCCACTAATTTAATATAAAATTCTTTCAGACTTTGGTCATAGTGGTAACAGAAATTAGTAGCCCTTTCAATAACAGGTAGTTCTCTTATACATTATAAAAAGTTTTTCTTTTTAATTTTGATCAACTAGCTCGTAATTTCATCCAAGTAGTGACAACCTTCAGCCTGTGACCGTGAAACCAGCTGTAACACCA